AACTTACCTATCTTCTAGTTAATTCTAGTTTCACATTCGTTATTCCTAGACATACAACTATGTGGTCACAATAAATCATATGAAATTAATAACTAAGAGATGTTCATACAACTTAATTACTAATTTATTAACAGAAGAATAGTTATTGTTAACACATAAGGTTCTTTAACAAGCTTAATAAAACATAATCACCAATTAAAATTAATCCTAATCAAATAATCAATCCATGTTCACAAATTCATCTACCTAAACAAAAGTTATGAGTTTTTAGCTCATGATTACAGCAGAAACAAGCTCAAAAACGAAATCAATTGGTAAAAAGATAGTTCAAACAAGAGATTAGGTAAGAGTAAACTTGATTTTGACTTGATTCTCCTTAAAATTGAATGTAGGGTTGATTCCCTTGCTTCCCACGCTCTAGCAGCACCTTTAGTCGACAATTGGCCTCCAAAGGTTCATCTATATGCTATGATATCGATCTGAAAGTCCCTTTATATAGATTTTCACAAAACAGGGGCTACTCGGCGAGTCCATCACTTAAAACCCGTGTACGGCAAGTCAGCGTGTCCAGAATCGCGAAACTTCTGACCAACTCGGCGAGTAATCGGACCTACTCGCCGAGTACGTTTCAAATCAGCATTTTCTCAAAACACGAAAGTCATCCGAAATTGTGTCTACTTTTCAGAACATTTTGAATCTTGTCAATCGGAGTTATGGTTCATGAGATATGGCCAAAACACTGACGAGGGGTCAAGCTGTCCAGCAACGTCCTTCTTTCTTCAAAATCCAAGATCCAAGCTTCCAATCGCTAGTTCCGCTTCCTTTTTCCATCCGAGCATGTCATTATTGCTGAAAAATGAAATTCTAAACTAATTAAGCACCTTTTGTTCATTAAATGTGATAAAATCAACATAAAGTATTAAGATCATGCATGAATTTTATAACTAAATATGCCCATATCACACCTATTGTCACGTCATGGGGGTTCATTAAATCTCCGTTGTCTATAAGTTATTGCCACATCGTGGTGAGGCTCCACCACGTCGTGGCCACCCAAAAAAGACATCTACACATTTCATACCTGGAATGGGTGTTACAGGATCACAGTCATTAAATTACATAGAACATACACAACAAATAACATAACAGTGGAAATATTATTACCAACGGGAATTACATTGATACACGTCTAGAGTTACAATACCTTGAAGTACATAAGATTTCCTCAAACAATAGGGTACTTAATTAAAACTGCATTACCAATCTATAGGCGATTGTGAGTCCAAGACTTTATTCCATAGGCTTCCTGCTCTTAATTCCCAAAGAATACATGTGTTTTGAAGAAAGTCAACATAATCTTGGTGAGTTCATAGGTTTTAAGTATTTGAACTGAAGTGGTTTTAGGTGTAGCAGTTTATCAACTGTAAATCATTTTTAACATAGTTTTATTAGTGAATTAATCACATTTTCAACGTTACAATGAATACTTATAACCGAGATCTGACTATGTAGATGTGTCCCCATTGACGCTTCATGGGATGTCGTAATATGTAAAGACAATTATCACCTATTTTGACTCGGCCATCAAGGTTGTAGCTAGCAACCATAGGTGACGTTTTCAACCTATATAAATCTATACATAATTCCTTCGCTCGTGAAAACTAATGCTTATAAGTAAGGGACTTTTAAGTATTGTACTTAGTTCATGAATGTGTCTCATGTAACCATTGAATGATATGTTCAATAAGTTTGTAAGCCTAAACTTGTACACAAAAGTTCTTAGACATAAGTTTAACATCATATACAAATGCAAGAGTTTATCAGCATAATTCCATAAACATAAGTTCTTCAATATGATTTATTGAGCATAAGCTTGTAAAAAAAGTTCATAAATTTGTAAGCATGAATTTATAAACATTTTAAACTCACTGGAATGTGTGAGTTGGGATCACCATAATCTAATTGTTGGTGGTAGCCACGTCGAAGATGGGGCGGAAGACGGTGTTCAGCAGGTGGTGGCTTGCAGTGCTCTGATGGTCAGAGGTGACACCCATTGGTTTTCTTCACCGGAAAACCAAGAGAGAGAGAGAGAGTGAGAGAGAGAGAGAGATTGGAGAGCAATAAGAGAATGATAGGGTGAGGATTGATATTTATTGTAGAGAAATTTTTGATCCAACGGCTAGTATTGATTCCCAATCAACGGCAAGATTATAGTCTGGGTGTTTCGTTCTTATCCACATGACATAGTGTGTCGATATGGATGCAATAGAGTTCATCTTCCTCTTGATTTTTATGGCATCCATATTATTGTAGGAGACGTGATGATTAGTGATGACTCACTAGTCAGTATGGATGAGACATCCAACTATAAGGAAGCAATGACAAGCCCATAGGCTAGCAAATGGAATAAGAGCATGAAGAGTGAGATTCAGTCCATGTATGTTAGTCAAGATTGGAATTTGGTTGATCATACACCTAGCATTAAAAATGTAACATCCCAAAAATACAGGCCAAAATTTTCATTTTTAAATACATTATTATAAAACCAACAGTATAAGAAAACATCCATAATATCAAGTCATGTCAAAACCCAAGTAGAAGTGATCAAAAGATGTTATCATAAAATAATATCAAAGTGTAATCCCAAAGATCTTGTGTGCAGAAAACCATAGTGTGATGCGCTGCAATCAAGTCGGCTCCTTTCCTTCAAAAACGACGTTCCTGAAACCAAAACTGAAAACTGTAAGCACAAAGCTTAGTGAGTTCCCCCATCATACCACATACCATACAATCACATAGCATACGTACTGTCGGGCAATTCTGGGGTGCCCGACCTACCCGGTACGGTCATTCTGGGGTGTCGACCTTCCCCTATCAAGCCATTATGGGGTGCTGACCTACCCATGTCAAGCCATTTTGGGGTGTTGGCCTACCCATGTCAAGCCATTCTGGGGTGCTGACCTACCCATGTCAAGCCATTATGGGGTGCTGACCTACCCGTCGGTCCTAACAACCGACCCTCGAGTACTATTCCACCCCCTACTGCTACTATCATATATATCATAACATAAGCATACTATAGACATATCTAGGGTGTCCGAACTACCCTTCGGTCCTAACAACTGAACTTGGGGACTATTCCCCTCCTACTACCACTATCACATATAACATATCATGCCAGCATATAAACATATCATCACATACTGTTAGACATATCTAGGGTATCTAACCTACCCTTCGGTCCTAACAATCGAACTCTTACTATCACATATAACATATCATGCCAGCATATAACATATCAGGTAGTAGCAAATCTAGATGATATCACAAAGACAATCATCTAACATACAACTCCTACTGGTGGGCCGGCATTGTGGTCGTAGACCTACCGCTACTGGAAGGTAACTCACCTCACACTGCTGAAGTCCCGAAGACACAATCCCACACTTGCTAAAGTCCCGCAGACTCAACCTTAGTTGTTGGATGACAGATTCACGAACTATCAACACCAAAACAACACCCAATTAATAATTAGGTCCCAACACATAACCATAATACATACTTGGATAATTACTACATTAACCCAGGCTTGGCTTATTTAAGCCCAAGGCCCAATCCATAGGCCCAAAGCCAACTAGGAATCAAAGCCCAACGTATGACCCAATTTTCCAAATTGGGCCCAAGCCTATACATGGTCTTATTCTAAAGCCCAACATCATATAATCATTAAGGCCCAAACTGTGGTCCATCTACGGCCCAATTTTCCAAATTCGGCCTAAACCCCTTACATAGGCCTTACCCTAGGTCTATTAAATTATTCTAATCCAATTGCTTGACTTTGGATGGCCCATTATTATCCCAATCATCAAAGTCCAATAGAAAGGCCCAACAATAAACCAAAGTGAAATTAGGGTTTCTCATAAAATGGTGATTAGGGTTAAGTTTCCTACTTAACCCATTAAAGACTTAATCCACTAAGGACTTAATCCATTAAGTCCAATATGATTAGATTAATTTTTTCCAATGCTTATTATTTAATATCTCAAGTTATCAAATAATTCTCGCATGTCCCGGTGAATTCCCCAAATTAGGGTTTTATTGGCATTATAGTTTTCCAAACCCTACTTAGGGTTTACAACCCACATACTAGCCCATTTATCAATTTGTTGGGCTTTTAGGTTAATTAGGGGCCTATCAGGCCCACTAGAGTATCATTAAGCCCATTAGGGTTTTCATTGGGTCACTTAGAGTCCATTAGACCCATTAGGGTTTTCACTAAGCCCATTAGGCTTCCTTGGGCCCATTAGGGCTTCTTTGGGCCCATTAGGGTTTCAAGCACCCCAAACGTATCAATCACAACGAGGCAAAGCACACTGCCACCCGACACGGCAGGAGGCGGCAGCCACCACCCTAAGGTGGTGGTTTTCAAGTTCTTTTCATTAATCGACTTCTAATTACATCTTACAAACTTTAATCCAAAATAAACACATACTAAACAAAATATTCACACATACACAGCCACCTTGCGGTGGCCAGTGGTGGCAGCCACCATGGCTGGCAGCCATAGTGGGTATCTTTTATGTTTTCCGGCCTTCAACACCATCCATAATTGCACCAACACATTTCCAGTTGCACAAAGGGTGCCACCCACCTGGTGGCCCACGGCGGCGGCTGATTCACGATGGCGACAGTGGCAAGTCGTAGCTGACGACGGGGCCGAGGAAGAGAAGAAGGTGGCGGCGGACACACACCTTGGAGGAATAAACTAGCAGCGAGGCAGCGATGGGCACAGTGAGGCGGGCAGCAACCCTAGCGGCCACGACGGTACTCCCCGCCGGAGAAGGAAGCAATGACATAAATGGGGGTGGTGGTTGCTCGGCTTTACTGCAGTAGGCCACCATGATTTTGACGGTGGTGCGACGACCCGATGCCCCACACTCTCTCCGACTGCCTAACTCCTTCCGACATAGAGGGAAAAAGGACATCACCGATCAACCAAGATGGTGGCAGTTAAGTCCGACGGAACAAACTGGTGGCTAAAGGCCAGTATAAGGAGAAGAAGAGGAGTTCACAGAGGGATGGTGGTAGCACTGAGGTCGCTGGCAGCCATGGGTGGTCGGAGAGTGAGTGGACTCGATGGTGGCGGCTGGAGGAGCATTCCCGGCGGCTAGAGAGAAATGAGCTAGGGTTAGGGTTTGCTTAACCCTTTATACCCGGCTCCGCTCAATACTTTGCCATAATGGCAATAATAGTCCTTCCATGCCCCTTTTATTCAAATGTAATCCAT